ATACAACATGCCTTATCCAGCTTGGTGTTAATGTTAAATAATCTAATTTGATAACTTAGAAGGAAAAGTGTGCTATCATCCTGGGTCCATCTGCCTGTCTGTCCATCTGTCAATCCATCTATTTTCTTCCACTTATCCGGGACTGGGTTGTGGGGACAGGAGTCTAAGCACAGATGCCCAGGTATTCCTCTCCCCAGGCATCTCCTCCAGCTTATCCTGGGGAACACCAAGATGTTTTTAGGCCAGCTAAGAGATGGAATCTCTCAAGCATATCCTGGTTCTGCCTCCAGTGGAACATGCCCGAAGAAACTCACAGAGAAGGTGCCCAGGAGGCATTCTTGACAGATGGCTAAACCACCTCAACTGGGTCATTTTGATGTGGAAGAGTAGCAGCTCTAGTCTGGGCCCCTCTCAGATGGCTGAACTCCTCACCCTATTTCTAAGGGAGAGGCCAGCCACCTTTCAGAGAAAGCTGTTTGTACCTGTGATCTCATTCTTTCGATCTCAGTGCCATTCCTGGTCTTGTTGTCATTTGCCACATGAGTGTTGCAGTCTCCCAGTAGGATGACATTCACCAGATAGAGCACCATTGAGCACCCCACCTAGTGAATCCAAGAAGTCTGGGTACTCTGAACAGTTGCATAAGTGCAAACGACAGTCTAGACCTGTTTCTGACTCAATGGCACAAGGAAACAGCTCTCTAATGCACCGTTAAAAACCCTATGTACCAGTAGCTAGCCAAGTGGAAACAATAATACCCACCTCAGCCCGCCGTCACTCATCAAGGGCAACTTCAGACTGGAATCGAGCCTAGTCCCTCTCCAGGAGACTGGTTCCAGAACCTGAGCAGTGCGTTGAGGTGACCCCAAATATATTTAAGTATCTCTCAACCTCTAGCACTAGTTCAGGCTCCTTCCCCACCAGAGAGGTGACATTTTGTTTTCCGTTATCCAGCCTTGATAGCCAGGGATTGGACAAGCAGGGCCCCCAACCTTGACTGCTGTGTGACAGACATTGAACCCAACCCCTAGTGCGCCTCATGCAGGTAGTGGACTTACAGGAAACTCTCCAGTTTACTTCAATAAGTAAACTGGAGAGTATTTTGTTTTTTTAGCTAAAATATGTGAAGGTACATTTATAGATTATTTCAAGTGATTAAAAGAGCCTGATATGAAAGATGTGCTGTCTAGCTTGACCAATACATTGGTCTATTTATTGCTCCCTTAAAAGCAAGAGAGGCACAAGCTGATCTGATTGAGTAGGACATGAAATGGTGGAATTTAGAGCAATTTGAAAATAAATTAGTTGACTTAATCTGAAAAATAAAGGTTTACATTGAAAAAGTCTCTTACCACAACTCAACTGCACTCTCTCACAACACAGTGAGAAATAATGAAGTAACAGATAAGTGAGATTAAGAAAAGCGAGAAAAAAAACAATGCAAATTGGAAACTTTAAAGAATAGCAAAGCATAACACTATTTATCACATAGTGTTATGCGACAGTTTTTACATCATATACACTTAACCTGTGCATGTATTTTAGATAACTGGGAACCTTTTCCATTTCAGCTGGGTGTTACAAGTCAATTAGTGTCAATTAGATATTGATTAGACTTATCAATATCAGCATTTAATATAAATACAATATATAGTAAAAGTCTTGAGCCACCCTTCATTTCTTTATATTTTGCAAGAAAATTTTAAATAAGAGTAGTAATTTATTGAAACATACAAACAAAGACGGAAATACAGTATATATGGCAAACTAGTGTTTGTACAGTTAAAACAAGCTTAGAACTCAGTATTTTGTACTAATGTCTAAATGTTCCCTACAAAACTTGATTCTTTTCATTTTTTAAGTATTCTTCAGGAATAGTTCTCCAGCTTTCTTGACCTGTTTTTTTTTCAGTTATTTCCAAGATGATCAAACTTCACTTCGGTATTGTATTCAGTATTCAGTATGCTTTTACTGCATTGGCAGTATATCTGGGTCCATTTTCATGCTAAAAGATGAAGCTCTTGCCATTCAGACGATTTTAAGATTTTGTTGCAAATTGCATCAAAATCTGGCTCTGCTTTTCTGCTCTCATAATTCCATCAGTTTTAACAAGATCTCCAACACCATTAGCTGAAATGCAACCCCAAACCATGACAGAGACTCCACCATACTTTACAGATGACTGTAGACACTTACTCTTGCAGTGAATATGTGTTCCACTGTAAACTTTGCATTACTTAAGTCAAGTTGAATTGACTTGATATATTTAAATAAAAGCAGAATAAAAGACTGCTTTTTGTCTGCATATTACCATATATGACAGAGCATCAGCAAATGTGTGATATAGACAAGCAGAAATTAAATGCAGACTGTTGTGATTGCTCTGCATGTTTTTAGTGCTTTCTTCTCTGTCTGCTTCCAGTATAGCCTCTCATGACCTTTCACTTTTCTTCCCACTTTGTCTTTTTCATCATGTCCCTCTGTGATTATCTATCCATTTGTGCGTCTTTATTTTTGTCTTCTCTGTCCCTATTATGTTTGCTGTTATCTTACCATGTACATGTATTTTGGTGTCTTTCTTTTCTTTTCTTCCCTTGGGTGGCTCTGTACCTATACATATTCTTCCCATTTTCCTTTCTTCTCTGGCATATTTTCTTTTTCCTCATCATTTCAAATTGCTTGTCCAATTTTCATCTAGGGCAGTGGTTGGGTTAAAGGCAGCCCAGTGGCACTGAGCTCCAATACTAGCACGCCAAGCCGTGGACGTCGGCAGCTCCCCAAGATCCCCCACACCCCGCGACCTGGGGTGGCTTACAAGACTGCCAATTCCTCTCCTGTGCATTTTGTGTCCAGCCAGACCTCTCTGAGTCCCGGCCGGCTAAGCCGTGGCCTCTCAGAGCACAATGGCCTCCGTTACAGCAGCTCTCACCACTTCCCCTGCCCCGTCACTCGTATCAGCTCAGAGCCCTTCCTGGGCCAGGGCCAGGGCAAGGCCCTGGGTAGCCTCTATGGCAGCCTCCGGGACCAGCTGCAAGTCTTCCAGGATATGGCGGCGCTGTCTCCCAGCCCCTGTGGTGGACACTCCTCTTGGAACGCACTGCCTCGCATGATGGGAGCGTTGTCTCCTGCTCAACAACAGAACATTGGTATGCCCAATGGGTACCACATCAGCTTTGGGGGTAGCACCAGCCCAGGCTCTGGCGTCAGGGCAGCCAGGTGTTACCAGGAGGCAGTGAAGGATGAATGGTGCTAGCATGGCTTTAAACAAACCTTTTTAATGCATTTTTGAGGAATTGTGATGAGTTTTATCATCTTCTTGGAAGGCTTTAGTTTACATCATCACCGTGTGTGTTTTAATGCTTTATTGTAATCCTAACTTGGAGATCTTAAGTTATGGAGAACACCTGAGGAGAATGCTTTAAGGGGGTAATATTTGAATGTGAATAGAAAAGTATCCTCTTTATCAAAGCGCTTGTAGCAGAAAAGCAGACTTTTTGTCAATATCAGATGTCTTACAGTGTCTGTTCTTGATTTGCTATT